TGCCTGGTGCTATGGGTTATGTCGGTGAAAATTTGATTCAGGTATTAAGAGACTCAGGTTGTAGCGGTGTTGTTGTGAAGAGAGATTTGGTTACTGATGATCAGCTGACTGGGCAAGTGCAGAAATGTGTTCTGATAGACAGCACAGTTCGTACAGTTGAGGAAGCCTCCATCTATGTCGACACTGCCTACTTCACTGGTAATATTAATGCTTTATGTATGAAAGAACCTGTTTACGATCTTATTATAGGTAACATCGATGGTGCCAGAAATCAGACAGATCCTGATCCACAGTGGTGCAGAAGAGTGTAGTCAAGTTCTTCAAGCCGTCCAGACAAGTAATCAAAACAAAAGTATAAAAAAGTTAACTGTTACAGGTTTAGTGGATACTGATATGACGATTGATCAGATGAAACGACTTAGATGGACGATTCTTCACTGAAAGTGCATCAAGAGCATGCAGCGACAGGCAGAAAGCAGATGATTGGTGAAAACATCGAGACATGGTTTAGTGTTGAAAGAGGACTGTTGTACAGACATTATCATTCAAAAAAGGTTAGTTATGAAAAACTGTATAAACAACTTGTTGTTCTAGAACCTTTGAGAAAGAAAGTTATGAAGATTGCTCATGACACACTTCGTGCTCAGTCGATATGCTTTTCTGTGAAGTCGATATATCTAAGGATCGACCTCATAGAGGGCTTATATATATATATATATATATATATATATATATATATATATATATATATATATATATATATATATATATATATATATATTCATGGGAAACAAGCAAAAAACATACCACATACATTGTATATGATGATAGTATATGGAAGTGGCAAGGAGGGAGAATTTACTTTGCTCCCCAACATACATTTGAGAATATAAAAAAATCAGTTATCTCTGGGCCTTCGCTGACCCTCCCCAACCCTGGGATGAACGCGTATGTCATTTCTAAAAGTTTTACAGTAAAACTTGTCTAATCCAGACACAACTGGTTCCATAAGAAAATGGCCGGATTAGACAACATTCCGGAATAGACAACATTTAAAGATATACACGCTATATAAACGCGATTTTTTATGTGAAACAAAATGATTACATGATTTGAGAAACATGATGTGTAATAAAATATAAGTACTTTCCACAAAGTTTTACTAAAGAAGTCGTTGTAATTACAAAACATTTAAGCAAGATCTGCAATTACGAATTCAGCCTATTCATGAATATTGATGAAGGAAGTGAGTAAACAGTATATAGACACGCATGTCCGCAGGAAATCATAGACAACGAGGTACGTTGCATTTTGACTACGATTTTGAATAAAAGTTAATATCTGTCATTACAGAGTAGATGGTTAATACTGGTTGTTTTCAAGGATAAGTATCTTTATGCATAAAACTTATGCCATCGATGTCAAAAGTTATTTTGTATACCAAACGGCCTACCTCGTTTTCTTGACGCCATTTTTGTTTATCAATCTAAAAGTAGCGACTGTGTCACATGATGCATGAATTTAAATATAGGCATTACTTTCCTAGTAGGATAATAAATAATTATAATTTGAGATCTTTATAATGCGTTCATTTCCAATTGTGTAATTTAAAATATTTTCGTAACTTTATTTGGTAACAACACAAATAAATTTCCAACTTTATTTTTTACTGACGCAAGTTATAGCGTGTATATATTTAATACAAATGAATTTACTGAAATGGACTTAAAGTTAACATCGTATTAATCAAGATTTCGAATTATATATCCGGATTAGACAAGTTTTACTTTTATTATATAATATAGTTAAAAGGTAGGGGGTCAGATTTCTATGGGGGTCGTAGAATTACCGGTCTGGAACGGTTTTTTACGGTTGAAAAATGACCCTACTTGCAGTAGAATATTGACCGGGGTCACCCCCCGGTCAATATTCTACTGGGGTCACTTTTTGTCGTTACACCGGGAACAATATATACCGATAGACGACTATATGTGCAGTGAAGGTAGGTACATATTGTCGCCGACGACAATATGTTCAAAAACGACAATATATGTGCCGTCACACACCTACTTTCCAATTTCTAATGTCTCAGACGCCTTAAATTTCATGAAAAATTCTAAATAATTGTCCATAAAACGCATGCATCCTGCATGTGTTTATCAATGACAAATGCCAATTATTACACTAATCGATAAAGTCCCCCCCCCCCCCCCCACACACACACAAACTGATATGAATAAATCTCAGCTGATATCGGCTCGGCTGGATATTTGGACTGCATGCCTTCACCAAATCTAGGGACAGTACTTCAAGCGATCGAAGTTGGGGCTGAATTTTCCAGACGTGAATTATAAAGGATGTTCTCGAGATTCTGTGAAGGCATCAGTCCAAATATTTAGCCGAGCAGAATCTCCGCCGAGATTAGATATGAATATCAATGACCCGTGAAAACGACAGTAAGATAAATTCAGTCCTAATAAATAATAATAATTATAAATTTAATTATCTCTTCTTTTCTTTTTTCTTCGTTTATATTACTTTCCGTTTCTTTTCGTATTTTACAGGTATCTACTGAAGGAAAGATTGGAGTAAAACTAACACTAAATGATATACTAGTAAAGATCTTCTCTGTCTTTCTTTTATACTAAAAAGAAACTTAGTATACAGTAGGGATATGTCATTCTTAAAACGTGCATAATATCAAATTTCTGTGGCAGCCTAGTGTATATCAAGCAGAAAGATTTACAAAAAACTAAAATTTACCACCGTGCGCTTAAAAAAAATGTTACGAATATAGTTCGAATTTCCTCGACAATACATTATATAGAAAAGATACATTATCCTTGACCCAAGAGCCTATGTAATAAATGAGACAGCGTTGTTCTTGTTTGTCTTGTTAAATAAGATGGAGTGTTTAATAAGATGAAGTATTCATTATGAAGATTGATTTGTCTTTTTGGTAGCCAGCTATGTGGTTCCTTCGCGAAGGAAACTTTTAACCCTTCTCCGTTATTTGTGTATTGATCTAGTTGTCGACAATAAGAATAATTCTCATTCTATATTTAAATTTTTTTTTTCTAAAGATATGAAAAAATTCTTAAGAAAGTTTAAGCATGTACATGTAGATACAGTCGATCATTTGAACAACTTCACAATTTAACAGCACATGTGTGACGAAGGTGACCTTGAAATTATCTTCGCAAATATACTTGGTCGATGACATTCTTTTTTCACATACCTTGGTTGTATGCACCAAACATTAAATTCGTGAATTTTAGCATCTATGTAATACACAAACACACCCCTAGACACACACTCCCTTACACATACACACACACAGAGGACATTACAAGCGACATGATTCCAAATTGTTAAGAGACGACATTTGATTTTGAGGGGAGGGGGTTGGCAATTTTGTCGAGATTATTTTCATGCTTCATAGACAGAATTTTTTATTTCCAAGATGACCATAGACATATTATTTATTTTCTGAAGTTTCTAGATCACAAATACTAGTATTGTAGTAGTATGAGTAATATTGCATTATTGAACCGTAACCTCAGTAAATGTACGTATTTTCGCAGCTTTACATGACAGGTGATTTTCTCTTTCTCTGTTAAACTTATGGACGATCATTCTCCTTTCTTTTCATTAATTACAAAATGCCCATGGGCCTTGACTGTGACCCGAGTGCTGTAAAATCACTAACTTTCGAGGAGGGGAGTTAATTTTCTTTGTTTTCGTGGTACTGAGAGATCTTCATATTCAACCAAGAAATTAAATCTCATTGATCCAATATTTTTTCTTAAACCAATGAAATTTGACCCTGCGAAAATATGTGATTCTACAATATCATGAGTTTCTCTGGTTCTGATCGAATTCGGCACACCAGGAACTGGTCTGGACACACTAGTAGGTGACAAAGATTGTACAGCTTTATGAGAACTCTATAATTAAATTTACGCAGCTTGTCTCTTTGAAGTTATTGGTCTTGATACAGCCTAGTGGTAGGGTGTTCGATTCGAGATCGGGAGATAACAGGTTCGATTCTCCTTCTCGGCGCCGCGTCTAACCCAAGACGTTATAGATCAAAAGCTGTGACTGCTCCTTTGCCAAGCGCCAGGAACTTGAAGTGAAAGTCATGGGTCTTACGGATTAGACCTTTTAAAAAACCGAGATCGGTTCACGGTTGCCATGATAAAGAGCCCTCACTTTTCAATGGTCCCGAGTGCCGAGTAAAGGTCTAAATTTGAAGCCCTTCTAAACTTTGTATTTATTCCCACCCAGTAAATTTAAAATTAAGAACATGATACATAGATACTTAATGCCAAAATTGTTTAAATTGATTCAGCAGTTCATGAGAATCTGAAAATATTCAAAAGTTTACGGACGAGGGCTGATGAACGACGCATGACGACGGACAAAAATTGATATAAGTAGGTCACCACAGTGGCTTAAAAACATTGGTGAAAAGTGCAGATCGAAAAGATGTAGACGACCGCTGTATAAAATCTGCAAAGAAACTTAACTGGTCTCGAAATCTAACAAAACTGCCACAGTAACCAATAAAATTGAGAGGACGAGCAAAAACATTACTTAAAATAAAAAAAAGAATTTTTACCATATTTGTAGCACCAGTCAAGGTTAGAGTATTTGTTTTTGACGGTGGAGAGCAGATCATTTAATTTAAAATAATTCAAGGACAGATATTTATTTCCAAAATCTGCCTCCCCCCCCCTTAAAAATATTTGTGGCGGATACATGTATTTGCCACATAAAATTTTTTGTCTATTTAAATATAATTCATTTTTTAGGTTCATAATCAAGAACTAGTAATGAAGTTTACTAGCATTTCCATTACTAGTGCGTATATGATCCACCAAATAGGGGAGGCTACTTTTCACCAATTTCATTCAAAATTTTAAGAATTTCTTCTCCCCCCCCCCTTTTGTTTTACCATATCAATTAAGAGGAAACAAACACTGAATATACACTTGGTATGCCATATACACTTTTTATTCTCATTTTTTCCTCATTATTTTACTAATAAATTAGAATAAAATCAATATATACAAAATATAATACACATAAAAAAAATTTAAAATAAATGACACCGGGATTAAATGTACATTGCATTTCTTGCTAGGAATTAGAAGACAATGCCTTTACGACTTATTATCTAAAGAACATTAATATAAACACAAGAATGTACATAATGGTCAGTGGGGAATTCATTTTCTTATTTCGCTACAATAAAAATATAAAAATGCAAACACAAACTTACAACACCCAATATTCTGCACATATTTTTCCAATTCAATCACACATATGAGCATTGTTAAACATACCAATTATTCATTTACAATACAATTTAACCCATGATCTGTGATTTTTCGACATAATTATTTATGATTTTTTATCATTATGATCGAGAAAACTGAATAATTTACTTGTCTTTATTCCTTATAATGCTCCCGTAGAGTGAAACTTCCCATAAGTTTGTTTTTTGGTCGAGGTGTTGGCATGGCAACCATTTCCGGATTGGGTTCTGACAATGTCCAGTTACATTGCTGACATAGTTTGATAATAAACAGTTTTAAAATTAAATGTGCATATCCTTTTCCGGGGCACCTCCGCGGTCCACTGGCGAAGGGAAAGAAAGATATTTTAGATGAATCGGCCTGCAGCCAGCGGTCAGGATTAAAAGTCAAAGGGTCTTTTAAATTGCTGTCCAGTTCATGCGTGTCTCGAATTCCAAGAACCACCGTCCAACCTTCAGGAATAGTGTATCCCTGGAAAAAAAAGGATTTTGAATATTCGCGTTTGAATAAAATTGTTAAGAAACGAGATAATAAACTTGTCTTCTGGACAATTCCTGTTGATTTTTTAATGTATTAATTATTTAAAAAAAAATTAACAGAGAAATATTAGAATTAATTTTTCAGAATAACTATTTGATGAAAGTGTTTTAGTATTTGAGAATAGATTTAAGATTTATATCTAGCATTTTTAACTCTAAGTCCTTGATTTGAAAAAAAATTTTTTTAGACGTACCTCGAGTTCAAACGTCTGTAAGACCTTCCTGTATGCCCCGCCCACTGCGGGAGTCACCCGCAGTATCTCCTTGTAAACACAATCCAAATATGGCAGTTTGTTAAAGATTTCCGTCGTTACCTCCACCTCACTATTGTTATTTTCTTCGGGAGGAGCTAAAAGGTCAATGTTCGATAGTTCTTGTCGAAGCTTTTCTAGAACTTCTGGATGTTTGGACAAATGGACAAGTGCGCACATGGCCGATGTACTGGTCGTCTCACCTGCATTAAATATAAGTTCGAAAATGCCATTCAGCAAATCGTCATTGTCAAATTCCGAATTTTGAGATTTGCAGAATTTTTCCAGTACGGTTGGAAACTGCTGCGAACACGTCTTTCCGTCTTCCTTTATTCTCTTTAAGAACAAGCTCTTTAATTCTTCTTTTGCTTTACATGCCTGAAACAACAATGAATGCTGTGATTAAAGTTTTTTTTTATAATTAAGAATTGCAAGAATTAAGATATACCTATTACATAACAATGCACAAAAATGACCTTAATTATTTTCTTCAGTATCAGCAAAGGTCCTTAACCCTAAGTCAGTAACCGTGCATCTCCTCTATAGAGTTCAATCACTTCGCAAGATTACGCCTATTTTAAATAAAATACTACAAAGCTATGCGTGAGTAACAACATCTGTGACGTCATTTCATTCATAATTTCACAGACCGGGCAAAGATGAACTTCGATTCAACTCTTGTCCGCTTCAAGACCCCTCATCCGTACGTCACTGAGAGCGACGAGAGGACGTAGGGGTGAACGACCAAAATTTGGCCCACTGACTGTAGGGTCAAAACATCTATAGTTTGTTTATTTCCGCATACGTTCCTCAGTGAACTAGGTCAACCTTCGATTTGCTGATTTTTGATAATCAGAGTATAATTTAAAATAAGAAAAGACGAAGAGGAAAATATAAGGCTAGGAATGAAATTTTTTGAAAAATGATTTAATCACACTTAAAAAATATCAGACCAAAGATAAGAAGAAAATTTTTTTAAAAATCAAAAAAGTTACTGTCTTACCTTGTGAAAGCCAAATCCAGGTATGTTAAGCGGTAACGTAAAGAGGTTGTTTGTGATGTCATGATAAAGTGTCTGTATCTTTTTTCTTTCGTCTTTCGGCATATCCATACTGACTAAAAATGTAGATGCTAGTTCTAAAAACATAGAGTGGCAGTCGGCAAAAATCTCAATAGACGACTTGCGACACCATTCATAAATACGTCCAGTCAAAAAGTCGGAGACAACGGGTAAATTTTGGTCGAAAAATCCCGGAGACAGACATTTTAGGAGTTGTATTTTTTTCTCCGCATGCACTTGACCTGTAGACGAGGACAAGGAATTCTTTCCTAAAATTTTCCACACGGAAGTGGGGTAAGCACATTGCAGAAGCTTGTTCTCGGCTGCAAACAACTTTTCAAGATTTTTCTTTCCTGATATACGTATAGTGGGTCTTCCGAACAAATGTGTCTTGTATATATTGCCATGCTCTTTTCGTTTTCCTTCAAAGAATTTTGCCTGAAAGAAAAGGATGTAAGGAAACTTGATCATGACAGTTTAATTTCTCTTTGTAATTTTGACCTGTGGTAAATTGATAAAAAATAATCATATGATAAATTAAAAAAAAAAACAATTGTGGCAAATATTGTTATTTTAAAAAATTACACTGACGAAATTATTGATAATTAACATTCCATGATTACCTTTTTATGTAGAAATTGCAAAGATTCTCCTAAAATCGGAATGCCCATTCGTCCTGGAGGTAGATTGGTGCCACACCCTCTGTACTGCTGTAAATATTTGTACAAAAGTACGCAAAGAAACAGGATCAGAAAAAATTCAAACATTTTTTGTTTTATTTAAATATTTTTTTAAAAGTATTCTGAAACTTGGTGATCTTCTGTAAATATTGGAAATGTAGGTTTGAAACACTCGACTTTATAACATGTCGCAGATTACGAAGTCATATCACGTGACCATGAAAGGCGAACGACCGAGACACGAAGTACACGGCGCATTCTTTTCTTATATCGCAGGAAAAATTCTTTTATCTACATATCGATTGATCAATAAGGTTAACGAAATATAGGGTAAGCGGCCAAATATTCCCCTCTATTCTGTTATGTCTCGATATCCGTGAAAAAAGGTTTAACATCTATATATCACAAAAATTTTCAGGAAGACTAAATATTCAAGGGAATTTTATATATTTAATTGCGCAATGAATTTTAAAGGTGATACTGTCACAATAAAGGATAAATTATCCTTACTTTAACTCATGCAAGATCTTTTTTTTCAGAAAATCAAAAGTAAGCACTTGGGATTTTATTCCGGAAAAATGTGTTTCTTTTTAATTTCAAAAATAAATTTAACTGATGTGCTTTATTTTATAAACATCGCACGTACATGTATCTAACAGAGAGAATAATAAAGAATTTATTTTAGGCTTGAAGATGTATTTTTAAACATATTAGAGGAGTGCTTTTCCATCACTTACATTTTTGACAGTCAATTCTGCATACGTCACCGTTTTCACCTTGCAGTTCAGTAGCTTTTTAAAAATTTGTTTGCTGATAAAAAGAAAAATAAAGTTAAAATTTAATATTTTTATTATTATTACTGAGTGGTTACTTTCTTTCACATTTATTTGTAATGCATCACACTTCCAACACACCTTAACATCCCACTCCACGGCAACCTCCCTCCCCTACCACCACCACCCCAAGAAGGGGAAAATATAACAGACAAAGGAAGAAAATATGGACTAATTTAACCTAAAACTTAAAATAACATGGATTCCTGTGCAAAATCACAATACAATTAGAGAACCTTTCACAGGAGTTATGCAGATATTTTATTGCAGGTTTTTCCTTAAGAAAAATGTGCTTTTCTAGTTAAAATACTTTTTTTTTTATCAAGTAATCCCTTTAATGTTTACTTTATAATTGCACTGAGTGGCTTTTAATTTTTTTTTAAGGATCTCTTGCAAAGAACGGGATAAAGCATAATTTTTTTTTCAGTGATTTGGATGGATTCCCCAAGTAATTCTTCTTTTCAACCTTACATTTTTACTTCTCAAAAAAGGTTGCAAAACAAACCAAGAACATATATATACGTTCGTTTTAAAAAGAAATTAATTTACAAGCAAAGAGTTCATTCGTACTAAGAATCTTAGTGAAAAACTTAATTAGAGACGCAGTTTTTTTAATTACTGTAATTAATTACGTAGAGCTCCGCCAGCATTATTTATAGCCGAAAGGTTAAAGAAATATGGGGATCACGGTCAACAATAAAAGCCTGTTTCCCTGACATTCAGCAGAGGTCAGTGTGTAAGTGGGGCATTAAATCAATGATATCGGTTGATTTTCTTACATATACTGTTTTGCGTGTGTAGTCGAACAAAATAGTCTAATACTGGGCTAAAGTTTCTTAAAGTTCAGAAACGGGTCGAATTGCTAAGTTGAAGAAAGACATCTATCCCAAAAATTGATCTGAAACCAGAATTCCAAGCTACCGGTACATGTATTTAAAATAAATTCCTCAATGAATTTCTTCCAATATCCATTTTTAATACGAGAGCTGTTCGGATATTATTGAAACATTGTGTTTATTCTTCTTTCTCATGAGCGCCTTTTGGTGAAACTTGACATATACGTTGCAAGTTTGTTAGAATTTCGATCAGGATGGAGACCATAAAAAACTTTCAGCACGGTATAGAAATCTGACCAAACGAAATGAATTTTGACGTCAAGGCGGCGCAGCGAGCATGCGTAAAATTCTGTGTAGAGCTGTAAATCTCTTGCCCGGACTAAACGAGTTGCTACAAAATAACAATGCGAAAAAAAACACTAAGGGTTTGTTCTTTCATTGATATATATATTTTTCTTACAAATAATTCAACAGGAGTAAAAAACGTTGACCCGACGTGGAAAAATCTGTACTGCATGATGCTAGGTCAATCAACCTGTACATGACACTTTATGTAATTTTACATTTGGGTAGCAACAACACACACTTTATTTTAAAGAATGTTATACGTGATGACAGAGAAAGAAGAGCTAAAGCTTCCCAATGTTGGCGTGACGTTAAAATGACGTAGCGATGCTGCTCCGGGTCAATAGACATATTCAAGTTTTTAATTTCACCGGGACTTACTTAGTATCCTATTATCAAATTAATGGGTACAAATTGAAAGCCTTGACAAGATTTGTAGCATTATTTCAACATGTCTTGTATGTCAAAGGTCAGTGGGAAACGTGGGTCAAAATATTGCCACGCCCACATACCACTGATAAAACACATATACTAGGAACTTTTTTTAAAAAAAAATATACATGTAATTTCAGGTGCGGATGCAGGAATTTTTTCGGGGGGGGGGGGGAGGGGGTTCCACCCCAGTCCAAAAAAATTTCCAACCCCAAAATTTCTTGACAAGCAAAAAATAAATAATTGACAAGCAAAAAATAAATAAATAAATAAATAGATAAATAAATAAAAATAAAATTTAAAAATAAACCTTCCCAAACGTATTAAACCCAGAAAATTTCTTGACAAGGAAGAAGAAAAAAAAACGTAAAATGCATTTCCCATACGTGAAAAACACCTATTTCGTGGTGGTGATGGTGGGATCCACGTTTTCTTGGGGGTGGGGATGGGGTTCCAAAGTCATTTTTCTATCTGCTTCAGTATATACTTTTAATAACTCTGAAAATTCCGAGGGGAGGGGGGGTCTGGACCCCCCCCCCTCTGGATCTGCACATGAGTTTTATTCTGTAACCTTGATATTTGAAACTTGCAGCAAGTGCATGTACATGTGTAATCACAGGAAAAGTAGAAAACAAGATATTGGAGAATTCATGCTAAAAGAAAAAAAGGCGATATTGATTTTTAATTATTCAAGCTAGCTGCAGAACTGTAGCTCTGTGGATGAGAAAATTCGGACACACAAATCAGACAGCTACACCCATACTGAGGTACTGTCGAAGAAAATATATATGTCAAGAAAATCTAAGTAAAGATTTTTGGGAAGTTAAATATCATCTGTATCGTCTATAAAAGAGGACAATATGTGCATGCATATAAAAAAAAAAAAAGAAATTAGATACATAAAACATTTCTCGGTGTGTTTTAGCATGACCCAACATCTATGTCGGAATGCAAATTTTTAAAAATATTCCAAGGCCATATATGGCTGTTTGGAACCTTTTAAAGGTATATAAAGTAAAAGGGTTACATGTAGGAGTAAAACATATGGTTAATTTAAAAAGGATACCATGCATTTGGCGGGAAAAAGTACATAATACAAGAAATAATACCCAAAGTCTTGAGACAAAAAAGCGGTGCCGTAAATCGAAGGTTTTTACAATGTGGGGATCTGTATACCTCTTCCTCTTCTAGTATGACTGTCCGAATTTTCTCAACCAGAAATCTACACTTCTGCAGCTTGCTTGAATGATAATAATAATATTTTTTCTTCAAGAGGAAGTGGTTCAATATATGATTTTAATAAACTACACAAAAACTTTTTTGAAGGGAAATAAAATTTTAAGAAATGCATCATGGACCTTGTTATTAATTTTATTGCGATTTAAATAACGAAAAAATAGTTGTTAAGGTTCATAAACCCTCTGCTCACTCATAAAAAATGTTGCTTGAACCTTAATGATTTTCCGAAAGAAATGTATTTTATAAGTAAAATACAAACAATTTTAGCATAGCTTGCGGGGCAAATTTGGACAAAAAAGACACTTCAATTTGGCAAATCTATAAAAGAATAATAGACATTTATGTCATCAAGAGTTATCTCTCTTATCAGAGTATCAATGAACCTTAAATGCTAAGTAGATCAAACAAATTTCTACCATTACTTATGATTTTTTCTTTGGTTGTTGTTACATTATTAATATTAACTGAATAATGATAAAAATGAAGACAATAAAACCATTGTTGGCTAAAACACGAGAAAAAATGCACTCATACGTAAAGGGATAAAAACCAACTTTTTGATTAAGGAACATGTCGATTAATGACATATGGTGATTGTTTAAAAGCATGTGTTTACATTCTACTATACATGTACATGATTCATTTAAAGATTTTTCTCGGTTTATTACTGTGACGTCACTTTTATGTTGCATGGAAATATTTAAAAAAAAAAAACAAATTTACTTTTGAAGGAAACCATAATTGTAGCATGTAAATAATTTTATTAAATAGTGATTAAAAAGAAATATTTTTGCCCTTCTGTGTACGAAAACTTTCATATTTAGCTGTAAGATCTTCAAATCTAGCATCCAGCACGCATATCCATCAATGCTTTTTCAATTGCACTTGGATCGAATACCCTTTGTTTGTCTGTGATAAATATTTACAAATAACTTCTCGATGGCGATGATATAATGAATTGACTACATCGACACAACACCAATTGTAACTACATCTCTAGCCACTAAAATCTCTTATAATCAAATAAATAACAGGCTTAGAAAGTATTTTGTTCCACAACATCACAACTTGGCCATTTCAGGGGGATTTGTATTTTTAAAACAAACACTCCTATTTGTGCAAATTTATTCCTAGCAGGTAGTCCTTGACGTATTTTTTGAGTGTGTGGAAATCATCGATCAATATTTCTTGTGCACCAATTGTTCTGTACCTGCATGGTGACACTTTGATTGCACGTGTTTGTTGCACTTTTAAGTTTTACGTCAACTTTATTTTTCCTGCATACATTTTCATGATTACAGATAGATATCTCAATAATCTCAATATATACATTTTGGTGTACTAGTTATTCTAATGGCACAAACATATTTCAGGCACTTGAAAGGGAGCAGCCAAAAAACAA